TTAGTGATGTGGCTGATGTTGGGTAACTTTAGAATAGTGACGAGGGAAGGTGGCGGTTGCGTGTGGTGGAATATTTGTGTCCATATGTCGTCTTCTGTGTGTTGCAATCAGACTCTTCCAGAAAACACACCAGTCACGATGCCAACCAGCAAACTCTTTACAGCCAATGACGTGCATCAGTTTTCCTTCCATTCTCTAGTAAATGGAGGAATTTACTAGTGTGTGTTTTTGTAACAGCGACCTCAGCGTCATCCATGGTCATGAGCATTGGCTTGAACACTGATTACAGACCTTTTTGCTGTGTCAGCCACTTGATCATGGGCTGTGTTCAAATTTCCCACCAACCTTGCCCCTGTTCTTGCACCGCAGCCTCGTAGAACACAGCTTGAGAGTCAAAGACACGCGCTGACATCACCACATCTGGCTCTCATTTTCCAGGGTTCCCTCTGGAGCAGATAAGAAGATCTGAATTTGAGAGCAAAAGACAAAACACTGTTCCACAGTTGAGAAAAACACAATGTGAGTCCACTGTGGGTCTTCATGGACCACATAATGATCGTGACATGATAAAAGCTGAATAATGTGAAGAATTTAGATTCATCTTGCTGATGCTTGAAGAATATGATGCAGGAGTGGGAAGCTTTAAATTTCAGAGAGGGTGCATGACTTGATCAAACAAGAATGTATTTTCACAGCTTCAAAGCTTTCAAGGATACAACAACACACGTACACACACAAGAACGCACATGCCATGGACAACAGTCGATCAACTGGTAACACCATTGATTGAGGAGTGACAGCACATTCCTCTGCATATGTCACCCTTTTCCAAGTGTGTCTCATCTACATGTTGTTGGTCCAGATCTCCCCAAGGTCTGCTCCATAAACAAACCTCTGACCCCCCACGCACACATTCATACAGCTCTAAATCAAGGCCTCTCAAAGCAAAGTTTATGAATACTTTATCATCCTGACACCATGGTCTAATTTAAGGGCTATTTTGTATGGGAAAGCAGGCATGGACAGAGATTTGTGGTCTCTTTTTTATTTCCGCATAACCCTGCCATTTGTTTATGCCTGTCATATTTCACTGAAGCAAGGCAACCTCGAGACATTGAGGAAGTCAGAAACTTATGTTCATTCAGTTCAGAGTAAGAGGTAGCCAAAGAGAAAAGAGAAACAAGCTGGTACTTGGAAAACCGTGTTTTTTAGTACCTAGTGTTTGTGTTTACAGAGGTAAGAATGTGATATAAAATTGCACACAGCACACGGATGGACACAGAGACTTGCACACACAAACGCGGTAACTCTCAAGGGGAATATATCTCAGGGTTGTTGTGAAGGCGCATAGCTGAGCAATGACCTCACCTGGAAGCCTGATGAGAAGACACCCATATTCACAGAGAATGTGTAGACCTTTCTCTCTCACTCACTCATGCACACTCACACTTGCACAGGCAAAGGGTATGTTTGACCAGCATGAACGTGTGTGCGCTCATGTATTTTCTTTCTCTTTCTCTTGCCAACCAGTGCCTTTGTTTCCAGCTTTGCCACATATCTCTGCTGTTTCCTTCCCTCTCATCCCGCCTGTCTGGCACCTCAATTGACCTCAATTGTCTCCCAAAGCTAAGCCATGAAAGACCAGCAGCTGGTATGTTTACAAGTTTAACTGTCAGATGAATGTGTGTACACTAACGGTGTATCACTTGTGACTAATTTCTACTCAGTTATCATGACAACTAGTGAGCCTCTCCCACATGTACTTCATTATCTACCTCCAGGAAAGCAATAACATGACTCCTCCACTGAGCTCAGCATTATCACGACACGAGGAGGTGAGACTAAGATGCTGAAGTATCTTCAGTCTGCTCGAGTAAAATCTTGTAACATGTTTTCTCTCATTTAAACAACAAGTAATATAGCTAGTTGAAACTGACATTATTGAAATTACTTGTGTCCTGCACATGCAAATGCCCAGCCCACATGGACATATAAGACACCAGAAATACAGTACAGTTGCAGCTGTTAAACATTTGTCAGACAAGAACATAACTTCTTAAATATAACATTATGTTGAAAACATTTGTCTTCAGTTCCAAGAAGACACAGAAGATCTGCCATAAAAAAGTTTCCCTTCCTAAAACTTGTTTCCAGAAAAAAACAACAACATGTATCCCGAAAAAACATTATATATATGCTTATATAAGCATTATATAACATTTACTTTTTACTGCTATAACTGACTAATAATCATTCCTTGTTGTTGGCTTACACATGGCTAGTCCTCGATGATTTCCATGGGATAAAAAAATTGTATGTACAGCACGGCCTGACTAGTGAAATACAGCTGGCACAAATGGCACTTAAAAGGTTGGGCACATTCCAGCTGCTCATTCTGTTAAAACAGTTCAACATTCACAAGACAATGTAATTGGAAAGGCTATATTTATGACAACTAGAGCAGAAGATTACAACCATTGCAACTGTTCATACACATGCAAATAATACAGCACACGCTCACACATAGGTAGGTAGGTCCTGGCCTCTCAAAGCATGTAGAGAGGAGCAATGGAAAACATATTATTAGTGAAGTGTAGGACAACAGGAGGACAAAGCTCAAGCTGTGACCCCTGAACCCAAACACATCTCTGACCCATCAGGTCTGAGCACACATAAACCTGCCACGCAAGCCTCAATATGCGCCAGGAGAACAGGATTTGGACTAATCCATGCCTACAAGGAAGTGGTTTGTTTTGTGGCAGAAGTTTATTTTGTCAATTCAGAAGGAGATTATGTTTTGTATGTTATGCAACGCCACACATCTGTAGGTGGTATAACAGTAAAAGACCTGTTAAAAATCAATGAATTATCTAAGATACTTGTTCATAAATGGATTCGGAAGTTAGAGAGTGCTCTGAGAGACTACAAGAGGATGTTGCGTGTGAGTGGACCACTCAACACTCCGTCACCCACACTCAGTTGGTTTAGACTATGTTCGGAAGGCAGGAAGCTGAACAAAAAGTGTGTGACAATTAGAGAAGGAGTTTCAGTAAATGAGGAGAAAATCCCCATTTGTGCACACACACACACACACACACACACACACACACACACACACACACACACACACACACACACACACACACACACACACACACACACACACACACACACACACACACATAGGTCCAAATCCCCACTGGACATACAATCATTCCCACATTTAGACCCCATCCCCAACAACAGCTGCCCACCGCACCCCAGCAGAGGAAATGCCAAAGTCCTCTGAAGTGGAGCATAACAGCGATGCAGTTCACAGCCACAGTGAAGAGCCGAGAGGCTGAAAGGGCAGGAGAACCTCTAATAGCAGGAAGTTGTAAGAATAATAGCGGTATGGGGATGTCATGCCCCCTGTCCCTCTGGCATGTAAGCTTTGGCCAAAACAGCAAATTCTGTGTGTGCTACATGCTTGCTTAGAAAACAAATGTAAAATTTTTTACACAACTTACAGTTAAGGCTTCACCAGATGTAGCTTTTTATTGAGAAATGTATACTTTTCCAAACAAAAAGTGATACAGTGAGACTTAAAAGTTATAAAGTATCATGCCAGATGTGTGTCACTATTTTATTTTATTTACTTTTTTAAACTGTGGCAATGAGATATCCTTAATTTCAACATGTCTTGTTCTCCTATAATCTAAATATTGAAAATGTTAAATTATTCAAAAAACTGCTTTGCATTTGCAGTGTATACCTTGTTTCCATGACTCGGGCATAATTAAAAAACTGCACCCTGACAGTGCAAAATGTACCCCAAGAAGAGAAATACAATGACAAATATTTGCCTTAAAAGGAAGTGGTTATTTTCATGACTGATTGTGTTGGGTGACTGTGTCAATCGAATATTCACCGGATTACTCAGCCAATGTGATCTGTTTCCAGATTATATTTTAGCAATGAAAAGCATGGCAGGTCATCTGAAATTCCACAAGGTCAAATCCAGTCTAAGCCTGACACATCAGGAAATAGAAACCTGTGACTTTTATCCTCTGCATCTGTCCTGGATTATCTAAGAAGGACTGTTAAGTAAATTACAGAGCTTAGGAACATTCCCATAATCCAAGAACTTAACCCCCTGTGCCACTGACCCACAGTCAAATACCAGTGCACGAGTGTGTATGTGTTCTTGTGACTGTGTGTGTTTGCACGACTTGAGGGAGTTTGTCTAGAGTTCACAGCTTGTGCGTGTGTGAGCCTTTGCATCAGTGCATGGCAGTGTTTGTGTGTGTGTGTGTGTGTGAGATTGTGTGGTCAGTCGGTGTGTGTGTGTGTGTGTCACTGTTGGGCAGCCATTGAACAGACCCCCAGCCGTTCTTAAACACTGAAACAGCCTCCCTGCTCTTTTTTATGTGCTGCCTGCTTCAAACTCAGTTCCCATGAAATTGGCCCTTCTTTGGCTCGTTCAGATTGCATGCACTGTAAATGGCTTCTCTGGAGTCTGCCAAGGGCCAGTGGGGGCCGATTCAATGACAAAAAAGAGACAAAGAGAGACTGACAGATCCAAAGCTGCCGCCCTGCCCCTGTAGCCCCTTGAAACCACATCAACAATTCCTATTGTGGAATTTTATCAAAGGAAAGCATAGCCATCACAATTGTTTGAAAAAACAAAACTAATTTACTAGATAAATAATTGTATTGGATTGTTCCATGCTGTTGACCCTTGGCTATCATTCATTTGCTAGGAGTATTATGTAAATAGTGGTGATGTGATGCAATAACTCCAATGCTTAACACAGCAAAATATTCGTAATGAACAGTGTACGGCAATTTAAGGGCACATTGCCTTATAGAAGACAAAGGTTACCAGGTGAATATCAGGATAAGGACGTATGAGACTGTTACGATCTGTACGTGTTGCTGAGTGGTTGTGTTTCTTCCAAGTGACCCAGCTAGTGAAGTCATTATGCTTTCCACTCTCTCAACGGGAGGTGGGGCTTTTTAGTGAAAACTTCTTCTACCCTGCTGCACAAAGACCAGTCGCAGTCTCCTCCACGCTGTGAGTGCGCAGCGCCTGCACAGATCGCTCCAATTTGGACCTTAAGCCTTACATTGCATGAACCTGCATACCTTTACTGCTGTTTTCTCGGCCGTGAACGACCCTCGGTGTTCCGCTGTGGCTGTTTTCCAGCAGATACTCCGACCCCGAAAACCATCGGGACCAGTGAAGAGAGAAGCTGCGGGAGTGGTCTGGAAACTTTTGCCATCATGAGCACGCGAACGGTCAACCTTGATACCTACAGCCTGTCGCTGCTTACTGCCAAAGAGGACATCCTCAACCCCCGTTCCTCCACAAACTGGTAACACATAGTGCTCTTGAACAAAATTGCATCTGCCTGTAGCAGAATCCTGTTTGTCCGCATCATAACACATGAGATTAAATGTCAACTTTATTATTCTGCGTCATTCTAATGAGAAAATTGCGTGGACAAATAGAATCAGTAACTTTCACGAAACTTTTATGTTCTCCATCTTGTTTCACTGAGTGAGTCGTAGGCGTTTACGCATAACCAGGTTTGCCGTTGCGTAAGCAGCGGCTTGATTTCAATTAATCCAATGAGGGATACCGAGGTGGCCAGCACAAGGATAGCACGCAACCTGGACCAGTAATAGCAAATGCATGCAGGCTGGTTTAGTAGAACAGGGGTGTATTGTGTTTGCCTTCTCTCGGAGTGCTGATGAGGTGAGGATTGCCGTCCATTACGCACGCCAGGCGGCCGGTGCAGAGCGCAGCACCTGGCCGGCGGGCGGCAGCCCTCACCCTGGCCTTGCGCTCCGTGACTTTGCTATTCTCCCTCAGGAGCTGTGGGGCTTCATTCTTTGTGCTGAGGATCATGTTTCTGCTCATGTGTTGATCTCTTGACAGGGGTTGTCTTTCAGGGAGAGGCTCTTTCATTTGACAGACAGCATAGTAGGCATGAATGAGTGCCATCCACACTGGACACTAACTACGATGTGTGCAATAAATACTTGAAACATTAATACAGAGCCAGTATTCAGACTCCAATTCAAGTGTAAGTGTTTTACCAGAAGAGCTGTTCTGGCTTTAGATTTCCCCTAGATGATCCTTTTACACATGAAACGTTGAAATAATTTATTTAATTCATTCTGCCCAGGCATATGTGCGACCACATGTAACCTGACCACCTGACGCTTGGCTCACTCCTTTTGCCAGTGTTGGGTCTGTCACTATGGTGAACTATCCATCTTTTCCAAACAAAAGCAATCTCCAACTCTATCTGCCTGTCTCTTCCCCTTTCTCCAGTTTCTTCTTTTCTTATGCTGTGTGTGTGGTATTGTCATCTCCAGCTACAGACATGTTGTCACTGGCTATACTCTGGTACAGGGATGGCGTGTTGATGAAGGGTTTAGGGAAGTAGGCCAGGGCCCAAGCCCACGCGTGTTCTCATGTGGAAGTGGATCACTGATTCTGTCCATCTCTGTTTCTTCTTTTGCCTTACATCTCTCTCTGCCACATGGTTTCCCTGCCCAGTTTCTTCTTACCTTCTTCCTGGTTTCTCATGGTGCCATGCAGACTTGAGGATATGAGATTCAGAACACAATGAGTTAACCTTAACAAGCTGAAATCTAACATCTTCATGAATGGGATGGAAAGAAATTCCCCACCCAGGCAGAACATGCTCAGTTTCCATTCTTTCTTGCATTTGGAAAATCTCTAAAAGTTTCCATGTTCAGTATCACTATGGAGCTTTTGTCCTATGGCAACACCTCCATATTGATTATTCACTTCTCATTGGAGAGCATTTTCCTAATGTTTCAGTGAACAACAGATCTGGATTGTGTCTCTGCCAACCCACTGCCTGTCAAACAATCATACAAATGCATGTGTTTGGTTATGCTTATCAGAGAATAAAAAGAAAAAGAGATAAAGAGAGAAATCCCCCAGCATTCATTGAACCCACTTTAGAAGGCTAAATAACTCTGGTGTGACTGAAAAGAGAGGTGGGAGGGGGATACGATGATGTCATGATTCTCACTGTCAAACCACAGAAACACACACCCACCTCGCGTGTGTGTTGAAGGGATTTCATGTGCGTGCATGTGAGTTTGCATTTGAATGTATTTGTTTCTGGATGTGCATATGCATCCTGCGGAGACTATTAAAGTAATTCGGGGTGTTGAGAAGTTTGAGAGGGGTAGGAGGAGGCGGTTTCTGTCGAGCGATCCCGCCCCCACTGTGTGGCCTTGAGGTCCCTGTGTGTATTATCTAATGACCTTGTGTCCTGAATGGGAAACAGACCCTTTGTGGGTGAGACTCTGAAGAAAAGAGGAGCAATTTCAATGCATCCTTCATTCAGACCTCTCTGCTCAACACACAGCCTTGGAGGTCTCTCCTCAGTCTCCCAAACCACCGAGGACTACAAAGTGTCCCACTCGTAGGCTGGAAACCTGCACTGTCTGCATGTGTTTTGTGTTTGTGTGTGCTTTGAGAGACAGAAAGAAAGAGAAACACTGAAAATGCATGTTCCCAAGGACATTATCTAATCCTCTGAACAGGAAATACTTATAATTCTTAGCAGCGGAAATCCTTATTTATGTCCAGTTTACACCAAAATAAATGATGGAAATCAACAGGTAGGTAGATATTGCTTTTCATTCCAGCACAAACTCAAAAAATTCCCATCTTTAATTTTTTTTTTTTTTTACACTTCAATATAATCAATATATCAGTCAGTGGTTTGTTCTACGCATTTTCTACTTTAATAGGAGAGCGTAAATAGGAGCAACTCTTCAAAGCAGCATGCCTTACCAGAAGTGTCTCCCTGCCAAGTATCAAAGAGAGAGCAATACCAGCTTAGCCGAGCATGTAAAAGAAGGTAAAAAATCACTTTATAAAAATGTTGACAGCATTTTTTTCAGCCTGGCAAAGCATATCAGATAGAAATTCCTATTACGCTGTGGAGCAGTTGGACCTCTATTCATCAGAATTGGGTGTGGGCTATATCTAGACATCTGTGGGCTCTGGTGACTTTGAACACACCTTCATCATAGACTTCTTTCTTGCTGTCCACACTTTGATGCTGTTTGCGCGTGTTAAGCGTTTCACTATGTTCTCTCGCAGGGATTATTACAGTCAGCAGGCAGTGACGCAGAAAGTAAATATCTGATTTCATTGTAGTAACAGAGTGATTTAGTTTCAATGGCGTATTCAGAGACCAATCAATCTTGTCTTCATTCAGCTTGTGTTGGAAGTCTAGTTAAATCAGATATTTTATATGTATGAATAAAACATGTATTGGAGCCTTATTTCCATAAAGAAAACAAGCTGCTTAGCAAGTGACATTACACATTATATTATTACATACAAGTAAATGCATCCTGGTGTTATTTTTGGCCTAGAGTTTACTTAACCAGGTAAAGACAGTTCCTCATTGTTTTGAAAATGTAAGAATTTCCCAGGAAGTTAAGAAGAACATACCTCTGACCTTTTTTGGCAGAAGGGTAGCTGCAAAGTCATCTTGGTTATGGTCATGGACCTGCAGTTCCAGTTTCAGTTTTTTAAATAAATAATACATTAATTCACCCCTGACAATACTTTGTTTTTTTAAGGTCTTCTACTTTATTTCAGTAACACTCTATAAATGGTGTCCAAAATGCAGTTGTAATAAAATGTGTCATTTAATCTACTGAATTCATTTATCTTTTCTTTGACTTTGACAGTCTCTGGGATACTTCAGTAATCAATCTTAGCCATTTTCATGTGAAAAGCAACTCTCTGGGCCTCTGATCTTTTGAGAAGGGACTCTCCTGTTGATGATAAATGGAGGAGCCTTTATTTCAGCATAGGCCCGGGGTGTTTGTGTTGCTGCTACTTGCCAGAATTTCCACAGGCTCATGCATGATTAACCAAGACGTGGAGAGTTCCTGGGTCTAAAGTTACGAACTACATGGAATACACCTGTGGGTGTGGGGAGAGGATGGGAGGATGCAGGGCTGTCATTGTGTGTGGATGCACATGCTTAAGCGCTTCTGCTGCCTTTGTATAGGTAGGCGTACAGTCTTTCCTGACTCCAGAGGGAGATTATATATGCAAGTACAGCAAGTCAGTTATCTTGTTTGTAAAGATAAACACTCATTAGCATCACACTGTTATCAAGACTTTACTCCCTGCCTGAACTTCCTTGCACAAGTTCTGCTTTTTTTTCAGTTCCTTAATTATCCACAAAAACCCAACTGTCAAAAAGAGACTGAATGGCATTTTAATGCTAGCTGTTGACACATAAGCTTGTGTGTAGCTTTCTACTTTGAAATAAATCTTTCTGGTGACCTGACTGTGGAATCCCACAGGAGGAAAACAAGCAGTCTGGTTGGTTTCCTCTGGCTGTTCAGGACAAGGCTTCAAAGGTCTCGCACACTGTTGTTATCAGGCTGAATGATAACAGGACATGTTTGATATAAAATAGTGGTATACTGTAAATGGAAAAGTCAAAGGGCAGTTACACTGGACCAATGCCCAGTCCTCTCTCTTTCTCCCTTTCTCTCTGTCACCCTGCCTCTGTCTCTGTCTCTGCTTCTTGTATAATACTTTGAAGTAGCTATTTGTGTGACATCTCCATTGATTTCTAAAGAAGCATGCATGCTATTGTTTATCACACTATGACAAAGGATTCAGGATTAGACCATAATATTACATAATATTACATATTAAGGTCACTCCACAGTTGCTAGAGTTAGCAGGATGGGAATTTGGCCTGACCAGAGGGGTTTTAAAAAATAAGCATACAAGTGACCCATTAGGACACAGACATATTCTGATTACATAAAGAGAAAAAGCTTTTGCATGCCACCAACATAGTTCACATTTCAAAGATACAATGTTTGCACCTGACAACAGCACTGGGTTGATTGTGCACTCTGCAAAAGAGTTTCCTCAGCTTAACGTAGCTGCTTGTGTGAGCATGTCTGTGGGTGGCTTGTTAGAAGATGATGACAATGATGGCTGTAATGGCTGTTATATCTCTGTTTAGATGAACTTAGAGAATAATTCTAACAATAATCACTAAACAACTGCTTACGACTACCTTAAACATTATTTAGATTCATCTGGGTCTAAGATGAAGCTGCAGTGTAATAGTAGGTCTCAGGCATGATAAGACATGACTGCAGAAGGTTATACTGTATGCGTGTATTGTGTGTGTGTGTGTCCTTGTATGTTTGGGTTCCTTAGCGTGCAAACTGTTGGGTGCAAGACCACAAATTGACACCGTGTTGAAGTGTGACTTGTAATTGCCCCATAGAGGAGGCAAAAGGTTGGTAATTAATGTTTCATGACTTGGTG